AGCCATTTATATAATATTTGCGTTTCAAATAAATTGTTTACTCTATATTTTAGTGAGAAAAAAATAAAATAAAAATTATTATAAAAAGTATTATTAAAACTAATAAATATTTTTTTCAAATAAAAGTAATTTATTTAATATATATATATATTTATTTAATTAATTAGTTTTTTTTATTGTAATTAAATAAATTGTATACTAAACTATATTTGATTAATAATAATAATGATAAAATATTTAGATAATTATACTCTAATAACAATAATAATATCTATTATTTATATTAATAATAAAATTAATTAATTAAAAAAAATAATCAATTAATCAAAAATAATTACTTACAATAAATTTACTTTAGTTGGAAATTTAAATTTCGGTCCATGACAAAAATATGTATCATAATAGGATAGATAAGGTTGACCAATATGTATGGGTAAATTAGCAAGTACATGTAAATTATCTGCCCACAGTGATACCATTTGTGGATTATCAAACCAAACTGATTTACGTTGTTTTCGGATAAAATCTTGTCGACCTAATACTAGTAAATCACTATAGTATTCGTCAATTACAGTCGACTCTAGCAATCTGGCACGCCTACCTAAGTATATTATTGGCAACAATAATAAAAAATATCAGAAATTTGTAAAAAATAATAGTGAAATTTCTAGAAAGTTTCTAAAGAAAATTCTATCTGTATAAATAATAATTAAATATTAGTATTGATATTTTAAATTATTAATTAATAAGTAACAGTTATAATTAATTTAATTATTTATAAATTCTTATATATATATATAATATTTGTTATTAAAATTTTACAAAATTGATTATTACTAAATAAATTTTTAATTATTTTACATATATATATATATAGGTATCGCATTTTGTATAGTAGTGTATATAATATAAAGTTATATGCATATAGTATTATGTCTCAATTATTTATTTTATATATATATATATATACAGTATATATTATTACAATAGCTATAGATATGGGGTTAATCCTATAGTTTAACAATAAAGTTTTTAAATTTCTATAGAAACTTTCTAGAAACTTTCTATTTGATTCTACGCCCTACCCAATCGATTATATTTATCAATTAATTCATTGACTACAGGTTTATCAATGATTTCAGGTATAGACATATCTGATAAAATATCTTTCAGTTTTACAACAATTGGCATAAATGTAATATCAATTGATTCATCCGATAATAAATCGTCAATTGTGTCCAAATAAGTTGTTTGTCTAATAAAAAATAATAATATAAAAATAATAATTTTTTTGTGTAAATAATCTATTTTTTCAACAAAAAAAATTAATTCAATAGATAAAATAAAATGAATTTAGAAAATTTAATTTAATGTATATATTTAAAAAATAAATAATTAAATTTAAAAATTTTATTTTAAAAATATATATTTAAACAAACCTGATAACTAAACTTCTAACTAAATCGTTATTAATTATTAAAATCAATGGTATTAATAATAAAAGCCATAGAATATATTGAAAATTTCTAGTTAACAACAATGATCTTGATAAATAAATTTTATTTGTTAGCAATGGCATTAAATAAACTAACAAATGATCTAGTATATTTATGATAATTTGATAACAATTTTGATTATTATTATTATTATTATTAATATTAAAACTAAAATAATTTACTAAAATTAGACTGGTCATCGACAATGTTAATAGTAGCCAAACATATTTATCCAATGAATTATATAAATAGATAATATCTGGTAAACTATCATGGTTAATTATGCTAAACATTTGTATATAGTATTCAAAATTTAATGGCATTGCATAAATCAATTGATTAGCTATATTTTTTTCATAATTATAGCCAAAATAGCCATATGTATCAATTAGATCCAGGTGCATGTATTGAATAAAATTTTCAAATGATTGTCCACATTTGATGACATATAAATGTACACTAGATTTTTTATTTTAAATAAAATAATATATTATTTAAATTTAGTTTTTTTTCATTAAAAAATTAATAAATTAGTTAATATTATTTTAAAATAAATAAATAAATAAATTATTATTATTTTTAATTAATAAATAAATTAGTTAAATATTATTTTTAATTAATAATTAAATTTATATATATATATATATATAATGTTCATATATATTGACAATAATTTAATTTAGTTATTTTTGTTTTTTTAATAAAAAAAATCCAATAATGTTTTTTGTTTGTCAAGTAAGTAGTTTTTTTGTTTGTTGCTAAAACAATAAATAATTTTTTTTAATTACCTATAATTAAGTTGTCTAGCTAATTCAACTAATACGCTGATACCACGTGATGATATATAAACAATTTTAGGCGACGAGTCGTAAACTTCAAAAAATAAATCCTAAATACAAAAAAATAAAATTTAATAACAAATAATAATTATAATTATAATTAATTATATATTAGTATTTAATAAAAAAAATAATTTATTCAAAAAAAATTCAATTTAATTATTTTCAACATAAGGAGTTATAGCTGGATAAAATGTATTCAATGATTTATTTAGTGATGTTAATTCAGTAGTAATATTATAATTATTATCAGTATTAGTATTATTATTATTAGTTAAACAATTAATAAATGTAAAATTAATATTTTCGACAAATTTTTTCCAAATAACATTATTATCAGTTGGCAAATATTCACGAATATTGCCTAACTCTAGAATATCCATGTTTATTATTTAATTATTTTTCAAAAAAAAAATTACAAAATTATTTTTAATAATTTATTAAATAAAAAAAGTTAACACAATAATTAATGGTATTTTTTTAATAGTAAAATTCTTATTACTAAAAAAAACAACCAACAAAATTAAATATATATATATATAATAGTTTACTTTTAGTTTTTAGATTTTATATTTATATTAATTTAGTTTAACTTATCTTAAATACAAGAGATATGTTATATATATACATATATATATTGAATAAAATATTTTATTATTTTAGTATTTTGTATATACATTATATATATATATATACAAAAAAAACATAATTTTTTTAGCTAAATTTAATTAATAAATTCAATTAGCAAAATTAATGCTTAATTGTTATTTCTAGTAAACAATTTTATTACTCTATTATTATTATAATAATGTTTTTTGTTTGTTTGTTTTTATAGTTATCTGATTATATAAATTAAATAATTAATATATTTATGTACATGTAGATTAATTATTATGATAAATTTAATTATGAAACAAAATTAGTTGATTGCTTTTATTAATTGAATTAATTGTATTATAAACAAAATTATTTTTTGCTTAATTAATATAAAAAAAATATTTAATATACTTTTTTTGGATATCAATTAAATAGATTTATTACAAAATATATTTTATTATTATTATAACAAATTAAATAATACTGGCTAATATTAGTATTATACAATAAACAAGCTAATTTATTAAAATAAAATAATTATTCATACTAATAATATTATTATTTTTACTATTATTAGTTATTGTTAAACAACCAATAATAATAAAATTAATGGTATTTTTTTAATTTTAATATTACTAAACTAAATAATTTATTTTATTTTTTTTTTGTTTATAATATGGGAAAAATCATTACTAAAATAAATAGTTAAAATAAATTAGTATTTTTTTAGCATAAAATTGATAAAATCTATATATTTCTAAATAATTATATAATATTACTATCATCAATTTATTTATTAAATATTTATTGTATAAAACAATAGTATATATTTTAATTATTACATTATAATAAATTGCAATAAAATTTATTTTAAAATAGTAATCTTTTAGGTGTAGGAAATATATTTTTAATATATAAGTAATATTAGTAAATAATAATTAAGGTGTATTTATTTATTTTTAATATATTATTATAATAAAGACGTTTTATTAAAAAAAATATTCACCATTAGTATAGATTAATTCATCTAAAAATATAATAATTAAATAAATAAAATTATTTTGCAATTATATAAATAACTTTTTTAATTAAATAAACTTAAATAAAATATTGATATAAATGTTTAATTAGAAAAATTAATTATATATTAATAAATATCAACAAAAAAATATTTGCATTTGGGGATTGTTTAGCTATTAATATTAGAAATACAAATAATTTTTTTTTAAAATTATATTTGATTATTTATATTGTTTATTGTTTATTGATATATACATTGACTCTATTTATTATTTTAAAAAATTATATTATTAGTATTAATAATAAATATTAAATATTATTACAGTTTTTTTTAGTTACATTTATATTTTTGAATAATATTATATATATATTAATTATAAATACTAATTAACAAAAAAATGACTAATTATTAGTAATAAAAACTTAAAATTTTTAAGTATTTAAAAACAATTTTAAAACTTTCATTTTATATGTAAATAATATAATATTTAAATAATTATAAAACAATGGAAAAATTTATATCAAATATAATACACTAGTAATTAGTTATTTGCTAAACTTGATATCATAAATAGTTTTAATTAAATAATTTAATTAATTAAATAGTTAATAGTTAATTTAATTAATTAAATAGTTAATAATAATTTAATTAATTAAATAGTTAATAATAATTTAATTAATTAAATAGTTAATAATAATTTAATTAATTAAATAGTTAATAGTTAATAATTTAATTGTCTAACATTATCATAGAAGCCATATAAATCTCTATAGATATTTATTAGATGATAAATAAATCGCCTAGCTGATTTATTTTCATAGATACCCGTATAATACATAAATTTATAATAATAATCAATAAAATCAAAATCTAGACAATTATCATCATCATCTAGATCAATTTTATAATTAAAACTATTATTATTATTATCATTATCATTATTATAATAAATAGTTTCGTTAACCAACAAAAATGTTTGCCACGATTTCAGTCTATCCAAACAATTAATATGTATGGGAACGGTATGTAATAGTCTAGGACATGTACACCTATCATCTCTAATAATATTATCAATATGATTGTACGGGATACCGGTGCGCTGGGCAACTATACCCAATAGTATAGCATCTTCGGGTACATCAACAACAGGTACATCCCTGTGCCGGACAATACCCTGGAGTAACGTATCCCTTGAGTGACTGTCCATCAGATATGCCGGTCCATTGGCATAGACTGGTAGATAGTCATCCGGCCATACTGTATGCGGTATATAGTTTCGATCGCTAGTATATCGTTGAACCATTGCACCCAATATTAGTTGACCACTAATACCACCGTCGGCGGTCCCGATAATATCGGGTAATTGTTGGACTAGTCTATCGATATTAACGAAAACATCGTCGTCTAGTTTAACTAATAGTCGGCTATCGGGGCAATACCTATTGTGCCAGTACATCATAGCTATTGTTTTCAGCGATAGATTACGGTAGTGATCGACAAAACCAAATTGTATAATATCGTTGTTGTTTTCCCGGGATTCCCGTCCGATTAGCTGATTGTCCCGTTTTTCTGGACTCAAACCCAATACAAACCATACGTCAATACCTAGTTGTTTGGCTGAACCTACCCATCCCTGGCGCAGATGTTGCCGTATTGCGTAATATTGATGACTTGTAGTGGCACCGCTTTGTATGAATATAGTTATGTTATGGCGTCCATCACATTGTTTTATGGGTTGAATGGTTACCACTTGCGTTAACTGTAGATATTGTTGACGTTTTGATGATAATTGTTGGCTATATTGTTGTTGTTGTTGTGGTTTATGTTTGCTATTATTATTAGTAGTAATGTTGAAGTAATTATTTGTTAGTATAATATAAATACATAAATAGTTTATTATAGCAATGATTGTAATCATTGAAAATTTTTCAAAATAATTCATTTTTTTTTTGTTTATTTGTTAATTTTTAAAAATATAAAAATAAAATCTAGTATTTTTCACAAATATTTTTTTTTTTGTAAAAAAATAATATCTTATACAATGTATTATTATTAATAATAAAAATATAATATATAAAAATGTTTTGTCATGTAATAGAAATTTTTATTAAATATTTAATTACTAATTATTATTTTTAAAAAAATTAATCTAACATACAATAATGATGTAACATAAATTAAAAATTTTTAACATTGACATAAATTAAATATACAGTATATATATCATATTAATATTTTGAATTATTATTATTATAACTAAATTTTAGAGAGAAAAAAAACTAATAGAAGTCATAATTATAATTTTAATAATAATTAATTAAAATCAAAAACATAACATGTAAGTGATTTTAATTAATTAATTAATTTAAAATAGTTAATTAATAAATTTTATTTAAATATATATAGAGATAGTTATTAACAATTTTTTTTAAGATTAATTATTTATTAGTTATTTACAAAAAAAATAAATTACAAATTAATGTAAAATTTAAATAAATTAAATATAAAGAAAAAAACTTTTGTAATAATAATTTCTAATATGAAAATTATTGCATTTAAAATAATATTTATATAATATGATAGTACTATAAATTATTATTAATTATACTAAAGTCATTAAAAATAACAAATTATATTTTATTATATTAAATTATAGTATGATTTTTATTTATTTAATAATTAGAAACTAATTTTAAAAGTAATAACTAAAAAATAACAACATTAATTTTTCATATAACAAGTTATTTAATTTGATAATAAAATATTTGAACTGAAATGTACTAAAATCTTAAAATAAATATATTATCAATATAATTTATAAATAACATTTTATTTAATTTAATGCACTTAAACATAGTACATATAAACTATTTTTTTTATAGTTATACAATATAACTATAATCATAAATATTTTTAAAAACTAGAAAATAACTAAAAATAAAAAACAACAATTATTAGTATTAATATTTTTTAAAAAAATAAATTATTATGATATATTTTATATTATTGTTATTGTTTTTTATATTAATAATAATAATAATAATAATAATATTGTTTAAACAAACTATTATTTTGTTTTCAAAATATTGCATTAATAATAATAATAACTTTAATAATTATTATTAATAATATTTTTTCTCATGTATTTTTTCAGTTTAGTAATTGTGTGGGTAATATATCATATATATATATATATATATATACCGGTATAAACAATAAAATTTATATACTTGTACTTGTTTTTTAACCTAAACAGTAATTGTATGACTAATACAATTTTACCTAGGTAATTATCTATCTATATATATATATATATATATTAAAATCTTAAAGGTAGATTTTATGTAACCAAGTGGAAGTTGAAATTATTATCAATTTAATTAATTACTGGTTTAGTTTGTAATATAACAATTATTATTATTATTATTATTGTTTAAATGTTAAATATTATACATGTATAATACAATAAGTAATGTATTACAACAATAGTATAGTACAAACATATATATAATACAGTCATCAAACAAAAATGTTTAGACACTGATAACAAAACAAAATTTGTTTTTATCAGTATTATATTTATTAATAATATATATATATATATAGTATATATATAATATATATAGACTGTATATTATAACAAAAAATTTAATTAGAGCAATTAATTATTTAACTACTTTATATATATATATATATATATATATATATATATAGTAAAGTTTTGTTAAAAACTTATTATTTTATATATATATATATATTTAATATTAGTAGTAGTAGAAAAAAAATTAAATATTATTTTTATATTTAATATTTTTCTTCAAAATAAAAAACTATAAAAAACATTATATAGTATTATATATTTTTATATAAATTTTTTAATAATTCAAAAAAAAACATGAAATTTTTACTCAATTCAAATGTTTTTATTTTCGACATATTTTTATATCTAACACTTATTTTCGCATTTATTTGTGGCCAGAATATGGTTACCGAAAATCGTGACTTAGATCGTGATCCCTGTGTACTGAGGATATCGGCCGACGCCTACTATTGCCTGAATAGTAAACTATCGGATCAGATGCGCCGGGAAACGGCTCCCCAGTACCTGTGCTGTCATAATTGGATCAAATATGATTGTAATATAAATATTGGCCAGGTATGTTTTTAAAAAAATAATTTTTTTAATTATTATATTTTTTTAAATAATTTTTATTTAAAAAGATTAATTAATTTATCTAATTTTAACTAGTACAACTATGCTATATTTTGTTTTCTAAATTAAAATGTAGATTGTTAATTGTATTTTTATTTTTTTTAATTTATTAGTTTAATTTTAGTAATAAAAACTAAAAACTAAAAGTATAGTACAATTAAAATAAAGTTTAATATTTTTTTTAAATATTATATTTTTTTTAATAATTTGTCTATTTAATTAATTTATCTAATTTCAACTAGTACAATTATGCTATATCTTGTTTAAATTAAAAATGTAGATTGTTAATTGTATTTTTATTTCTATTTTTTAAATAAATAAGTATAATTTTAGTAATAAATTACTAAAAGTATAGTACAATTAAAATAAGTATAATATTTTTAAAAAATAATTTGTCCATGTAATTAATTTATCTAATTTCAACTAGTACAATTATGCTATTTATATATTTTTAAAAATAATAAAGTAGATTGTTAATTATAATTTCATTTTTAAATAAATGAGTTTAATTTTTAAATATTAAATTACTAAAAGTATAATAAACTAAGTATAATTTTTTCAAATAAAAAATATAATTATAGAAACTGTAATTATTATTTAAATACATAACTTATAGTATAGTTAACTTATATTAATAATAATAATAATTAGTAAGGAAATGTGAATGACAATATTTTTTTAAAAATTTTAAATAAATATCTAATTAAATAAACAATAATAAACTTATACTGTATTACTATACAGTTTTTTTTGTGTAAGTTTAGTATATTTATAATGTTTTATAAAAATAATTTAATTTTAATTAAATTAATATTTCAATTAAACAAAAATAAAATATTGTTAAATAAATATTATAAACATAAAAAAATTTTGAAACATTAATTTATTAATAAAAAAAATTAAAACATTTTTTATTAACTATTTTTTTAAAAAATTAATTTACTTTAATTATTTAAGTAAATAATATTTATTTTTAAAAAATATTAAATTAAATTACTATAATATTAATAACTTTTTTTTTGTATATCCATAACACACCTAACAGAGTCAATGTCTGGCCAATGATTTTCAAACAATGCGCCGACTATGGGATCAACACATAAAAGTACTCAATCAGGCCTACTGTCGGGACTACCCGTTTGTATCGGGTCTGACCCGATGCGACACATTTAAGGGACGTAGTAGTGGTAGTGGTAGTCCCAGTGATACACGTATCGGACACTCGGCGGCCGCCAGTGGTTACAGGGATACGGCCAGCGGTAACGGCTATAGGGATACGGCCAGTGGTGGCGGTGGCGGCGGCTATAGAGATACGGCCAGTGGTGGCGGTGGCGGCGGCTATAGAGATACGGCCAGTGGTGGCGGCTATAGGGATACGGCCAGCGGTGGCGGCTATAGGGATACGGCCAGCGGTGGTGGCGGCGGTTATAGAGATACAGCTAATCGGGATAATAATTACGGTAATACTGTCAACCGGGACGGCAATAATGGATACGGAAATACCGTCAATCGGGACGGGAATGGTTACAGGGATACCGTTAACCGGGACAACGGTTATAATGGCTATAGTGATACAGTAGATCGTAGTCATGCATTGAAATTAATAAGCAATATATTTGCATTGTCAATGTCCTATACTGTATTATATCTACTTAAATAAAATATTATTATAATAATAATATATATAATATATAAATCAACATTATATTTATAAATCATATATCAATATATATATTTCAAAATAATTTTTACTTAATAATTATATATTTGTAGTAATAATTATTTTTATTAATCATACTATTACTAAAAAATGTGTGTTTTTTCATTCAATATTTAATAAAATAAATTTTTTGTAATTGTCATCTATTTTTTGTTGTTGTATATATTTTTTTAATTATTATTATTATTTTATAAATTAAAATTAAATATATAGTTATATAATATTAAAAAAATCAACATATATTTATAAATCATATATCAATATATATATATTTCAAAATAATTTTTACTTAATTATTATATATTTGTAGTAATAATTAATTATTAATCATACTATTAGTAAATAATATTAGTAAAAAAAATGTGTTTTTTTTATTCAATATTTAATAAAATAAATTTTTTGTAATTGTCATCTATTTGTTGTTATTATTATTATTTAAACATTATATTGTTTTTTATTAGTATTATTTTTTTTTTTAAATTATTAAATCAATAGTTTTTCATAATAAAATTTATTATTTTAAAATAACTTATTAGTTAACTGAAAATAACTGTATATTATATACTAGTATTATTATTATTATGGAAACTGTAATTATTTAAATAAATTACGTATGTTATAGTTAAAATATTTTAGTAAAAATTATTAGGTTAGAATAAACACTGTATAAAAAAAATAATTTTTTTAAAAAAAACATCAAAATATATATAAATATATATATAACGATAAACTTATTTATAATTACAATCTATAACTCAATTGAATTATTTTATATAAAATAAATATTATTAATTAATTTTCAAAAAAAACTTGAAAAGTTTTGTTTACTGAAATCTATAATGGCTTTTTGAGTCTGTCTGTCTGTCTGTCTGTCTGTAGCATTTCATTTTGCGAATTTTGAAATTCTGACTTCAGATTCGGTTAGAGGACTACTAATAATGTATTGAAAAGTTGCATTAAAATTTTGATATCTCTTCAGGAACATAGAGAAAATGGCGGCCAAATTAAAAAAAAATTTAAGAAAATTTTTTTAAAGTATAGATTTGAATAAAGCATCAAAAATAAGCAAAAGAAATATGCATTAAAATTTTGATTTCTCTTCAGGAATGTAGAGAAAATGGCCGCCAAAGTAAAAAATTTAGGTGAAAATTTTAACGTTTAGAATTGTATAGAGCTTTATAATAGATCAAAATTAATTTGTTTATTTTGTTATATAAATCATTTGATACCACACATGACTATAGTTGAGTATATTTTGTCATACTGTCATTTGATTCCACATATGACTATAGTTGAGTTTATTTTGTTATACCGAGTCATTTGATACCCTACATTACTATAATTGAATTTATTTTGTCATACTCAATCATTTGATACCCCAAATGACTAGAGTTGTTTATTTTGGCAAACTGAATCATTTGATATCTCACATGCCTATAGTTGTTTATTTTGGATACTGAATTATTTGATACTTCACATGGATATAGTTGAGTTTATTTTGTCACTAATGCATTTGATAACCCATATGACTAGAGTTAAGTATATTTTATCATACTGAGTCATTTGATACCCTACATAACTATAGTTAAGTATATTTTGTTAGACTGAGTCATTTGATACCCCACATGACAATAGTTGACTTTATTTTGTTATAGCGAGCCATTTTAACTAATGGTATTCAATGATATTCAAGTTTTTTTTTCTGAAAATGCTTTCTAGCATTCTTAACTGGTTATAATTCATATTCATTAGTAAATACTATTTATTATTTATGTTATTTATAAGCTATTATTTTAATTAATGGTCAGTTTTAATTATTAGTTTCCAATAAATGACCATTGGTCAATAAATTTTAATTTTTTTTTATAAAAATGTTATTTATATTAATTTTAATTAAATATTTTTTTTTTGATAAACTTATTTTAAAAACATAAGATTTTTTAATTATTAATTTTTAACATAAATTAGTTTTAATTGACTTATAGATTGTATATAAAAAGCAAATTTAGTTTTTTTTCATATGTATAGCGTTTTTTGATGGTTTTTTAAAATTATTTTTTTTATACTTAATAGTATATTATATTTAAAAAAAAATATTTTATTATAACTAGTAAAAACTGTAATTAATTATATACATTACTTATGTTATAGTTAACTAATATTAGTTTTTTAAATACATAAGAAAACTTAATCGACGGATATTTATTTATTTTTAAAAATAAATAATTAAAAATTAATTTAATTAAAATAAACAATTTTTAATGTCTGTTAAATACAGTATTATTATACCATATTATCGTATATTTTACATATATATTATATATTAAAAAAATAATTACAATAAATTATTTTAAATATAAATTGAAAAAAACTTAAATTATATAAAAAACTCACTTATTTCATACTATCTCTTAATTATTTTATTTTAAAATAATTTACTTAATTATTAGAAATTGATTGATTGATTGATTGACTTAAATGATTTTTAAAATTTCTAAAATAATAAAATTATAAATTGTTATTCAAATAACATTTACAATTATATATAGAAAAAAACAAAAATATTAAATTATAATTATTTATAAAAATAAAATATAATATCCATTATATATATATAATACTTATATAAGGCGACAACTTTAAAAAATAAATAATTAATTAATCTAAATATAATAAATCTAGATATTAAATAATTATAATTATTATATAATATTAAACTAAATCATTTATTGCTTAATTGATGATATATTTAATATATTTTTTAGACTGTTGTGATAAAACAATTAAACAATAAATTAATAAATAAATTATTTATTTTAAAAAATTATTTATAGATTATTAGTATCTATTTATTAGATTCAGATAAATAATTTATTTATTTATTAATGTTTTGAGGCTTGAATTATAATATAATTATAATTTAATAGTTTATTGTATAATAATAGTAAAAAACTGTAAAACAATTAGTTAAATGTTTAATTAACAATAATTTACAGTAAATTTATTATACATTTAGACACAAAAACATTAAATTCAAATTTAACAACAAATTAATTAATTTGATTCTATAATAATTTCGAAAAAATTATTAAAATATTAATTTTATTTTAATCTATTTATTTTTAGTAATACAATGTTAACATAAGTCTCTCTCTTTCTCTCTCTCTCTCTCTCTCTCTCTCTCTCTCTCTCTCTCTCTCTCTCTCTCTCTCTCTCTCTCTCTCTCTGTTTGCTATGTAATGTCAATAAGTTTTTTAGTAAATTTGGCAATTATTTTAAGTGATAAATAAACATAAATACTTAATTTAATTTCATTAACACATTAACAAACAGTATGTCAATGTGTTTTTGTATATATATTGTCACGTTTGACGGAGATTAAGCCTCAGTAGAGGCCTTAAAGCTTCATAGCTTCATAACTTTAGGCTTCATATACATATGAAGTTATATAGTGAGGTACGAAACATAGCAGTGTATTGAGCATAGCTTTGTAATACACAGTAGTGTATACAGCATAGCATCATAATACATAGCGGTGTATTGAGCATAGCTCTTTAATACACAGTAGTGTATACAGCATAGCATTATAATACATAGCAGTATATTTCAGCATTAGCGGCACTAACGATACTAATACATTACTATTGTATTAATTGACACTATATTATAATAACTAGTAAATAACACTATAGCATACAGTATACTACATATGCTTTATAGCATTAGAAACCTTGATTGCATTATTTTAAGGCAATAACTAGTTTAATGACAACCGGTACGTATTAACTAGGCTGAGACAGTAATAGCCAATAAGAGAGTAGTTTATATAGTTGTGTCACTAATAAGTAGTATATGATTGGTATGATTAGAGCGCCGACTCGGGAAATGTGCCGAGCATTCTGTTCCCTAGTCACTTGAGTGACTGGAGAGAGAGAGTTGAGTTCGAGACGCCGAGACGAGAGGACGTGTATTACCTATTATTGTAACCCATATTATACTTTTATATATTTAATCAATAAATTGGTGACGGTTAGCAACAGCAACAGTAAGTTAAAGTGTTTGTAGACGCAGGCCTTCGGGCCTTGCGTTCGCCGGCGACGGTAGTCGCGTAAGTGTGGGACAGAGATCGGGTAAGATTTGTTTACTGAGACAGAGTCTCGCCTCCCGAGTCGTTCGGTCGAGGCTAGAGAATATCTGATCTTCATTTGGTAGGTAGTCGAGACCACTGGCATCGTCTCGCTTCCCGTCGCCAGACGGTTGAGGCTCGAGATGAGGTCTCTACCAGATCATGCCAAAGGGCCGACAGTGTAATACCATCGCCACATCGGGAGCGACCGGAAGGCGGTTATCGGATGGCCGTCGAGAACCCCTAGACAACTTATGACTACGCGATACAACAACCCCTAGACAACGTATAACTTCGCGATGCGATTAACCCCTAGACAGACAAACTTCATAGACGACAATCCGAGTAGACGAGTTAACGTTACGTACTTCATGGGTATGGTTAGGATCGGCCACGGTCAGGCTACGGCGTCGTAGAGTAGCCACCGCAGGGTGACCTAGTGCAGCGTTGGGGAATCGTAAGATGCAGAGTCGTAAAGTCTGCATAGCGCTGGCGAGCGAAAGCGAGCGAATATTACAAATACAGGTCGGTGCGAGATCTACATGGTGCCTACGACACTGGCGACTTAAAGCCGATTCACCCTTACGTCGAAGTAGCGACGCAGGACGTTACATTTTATGGGGGCTCGAGTCCGGGATTTTCTGGTCTTCCGAGGATGGCTTTGGGTTCAAGTGTGATGGGCACTTTAAAACTCATTAGATTGCTGTTATCTTAAAACAGTGGGATTACGGCGTGTGTTGAGTTGTTCCGCACCCGATTATATATCTCTGTCCTGAAACTGAAAATAAACACATTGATTGATTATCGATCGAATAGAGCTTTAAAGCATTTTCTGTTTATTTTCAGTGAATAAGAAAACCCTTTTTCATCGAATCTTCGACAAATTATCTACAAATGAAATTGAGAAAAATAACGATTATATAAGACGGCTTCAATACTATAGAGACAGTTATATGAAGTCGGTACAGGAATTAAACAAAATGTTATTAAAAAATATATTGGTTAAGGATGAGTTAAGAAAACGTAAATTCATCGAAGAATTATTTGTATCAGACGTCGAAACACTTATAAAACAATTAAAACAAATTTATTTTTGTCGAAAATATGGAAAATCTCTTCGAGACGCTATACGAGCAGCCCGTGAAACTGAGATTACAATGTACAAATCTTTAACTAATTTACTGGATTATAACAAAGAAATGAAAGAAAATTGTAGGCAATACATGTTGCATAATGACAATGAAACATGTGTGGTTTGCTATTATGTGAAAATAGATGAAACGAAGAGTATTGGGACGTACGATCCACAAAAATTAAACTACACATATTATGAAAATAAATCCCTAAAGCCTGTCAACAAGGCTATCGCTATACAATGCGATAACCAAGATGATGTGGTGAACAACAAGACGGACGGTTGCAATGATGATAGTGAAGCCACTACGTCAATACAAAGTACCTCTATCAGTACTATAGTAAGAGATAAAGTAAAACAGCCTTCAGTTACTGGTTCTCTAGTTTGTCCAGTAAAATTAAAACCTCCTAAAAGGTCAAATAAACGCTGGGGTGTCACGAAAAGAGGACGCCGTTGTGAAACATTACCAAAAATAAACTTTCGAGAAATTAATTGGTACGTGGGTGTCGACCCACCGAAGGACATAAGTTTAGGTATTGATATTGAATGTGGAATTTTTCGGAAAACTAATAAAATGGTGCCATTGTGGATCGCGGTGTGCAGTCGCTTAAAAGTCAGACAACTGCAGAAATACGGAATGAAAAGTAATGTTGTTTTTCACTGTTTCATAAAACATAATCCCTATGAAGTTAATCCATTGACTAAATTCTCGGGTGTGAAGAAAGAAGATATGATTAACGGTGTACAATGGAGTGATGCTAAAGTAAAAACTAAATACTATTTAGATAATTATCAAATTATCGGAAAAGCTGTCAAAAACGATTTAAAAACGTTAGAATTGCCTGAGTATGCAGATAGAGAAAACATCGTCGATATTGAGACAATATTCATCGGTAAAGAAGGAAGTAACGACAAGCTATCGCTTCGATCGCTGGCGTATTCAATTAAAGATAAGCTAATACAAGAATACGACATGAGTCAACAGGGTCATTCGCCTATAATTGATTCTCAACTCACCTTAGAGTTGTATAAAAGACATTTAAGTAATAAAATAAGTCCTGAAATAGATGAAACCGGTTCGTTATCATATCAATGGGTGAGAGACAAAGAAGAGAAAAATCCAGCTATTGTTAAAATTAAAAATGAGATCAGAGCCAATAGGAGGGCTCAACGGGTTGCTAAGAGAACTAAACAAAACTAGTATTATAATTGTATAGGTGGATACTTTTTGCAAACCAGTTTAACAACATAATACTAATTGCTATTTATTATAATTTCATCTCATTTTTTTGTTATTTGTGTTTGGACTTTCAACTAATACACTATAGTAAGCTTTTATTTTGTGAAAAATTTTTAATCCTATTATTATGGCCGGAGTGAATAGCAAAGTCGGAGCTCTAGACTATCAACTGTATTATGATTTTATACATTTGTATACTTCACTACGGAAGAAACAGCTGCTGATGCATATTCGAGAGATGTCATCCGATTTCACACTTCACAGCGAAATTGAATTGATACGGATCGCCAAGCGCTATTTTGATGATGCCCTACGATTCATTCTCAATGGTGGAGAGAAAAATGTTATCCGCGATAAGTTGGACTTAATGGCAAACACGATCAACAGTTTTGACGAAAAATTAATTCACTTCGTTGGCGATTATGTACGTCATAAAACCAAATGCGCGGAATGTAACAACAGACACAATGAATCATTGAACGTTGCAAAATTCGCTAAATTTAATGTATATATACGAGAAGTGATGGCTAATCTTAAACTTGATCGAAGACTATATAAACTCTCGTTGTCTCCAACTGGTATCGATGACGACCAGTCGGCCACAATCAGATATGACGACTCTGACGAAGATGTGTCTTCCATTCAAATAAAAAGTTGTTACGTGGACATGGAATGTGAAGAGACCGAAGAAAGAAGCGACAACAATAATGACATTCTTGTAACTGCCAGTGAATACACGGCACCTGAGGTGAGGGTTGCCTATTATCAATTCATGCATTTGGGAATATTACTGAAGCAAAGGGTATCTGAAAGTAAACTACACAATGATCGCTTGGAACTGAATAAATTGTTTACAATAAAACACTTCTATGAAATAATTCACTTGTGGGTCAACGGTCGATGGTCTGACCAAAAGAAATTATTAAAATTATTGAAACTAATGTTTTCTATTATGAGTCAATTACAACATCCCATTGACTTCGGGTCGGTCGATTATTTGGATCATAAGAAAGTATGTAACGTGTGTCCAACCGATACAGTAACCTACGCGAGAGTTATGGAAATAATTTTCCATTTAATGTACGAATATGAAGAAATATAGACGACTGGATGAGCAACTTCAAGGGAAAGCTGATGAGGAAGAAAGTGAAATCGAAAAGCTTCGTTCATGGATACAAAGACACAACTTCAATACTAAGCCTTAACTATTAATTTAGACTACCAATAATATATACTTTATATTATTTTACTTATATCACTTTGTATTTTGGTGACGGTCTTAATCAAATAAAACATTTATACACTCATATTAATTTACTTATATTTATTTTACTTTTATAAAAAAAATATATTTAAATAATTAAGTAAATTTTTAAGATAAAAAAATTTTATTTATTTATTATTCAATCCCATAACCTTTGATTAAATACATTGTATTGAAAAAAAAATTAAAATAAGTAATTTAATTAAGAAAATAAAAGTCCGTGCTTCGTTTATCAAGTAGTTTACTGATGAGTTCTAAGCATTGCATCATCGAGTCAACTTGACAAAGGTTGTTGGAGAAGACTTTGTATTCTTCTGTCGGTTGCCTCATTCTTAATTTAACCGAAGTACGATATTTAGCGTGGTTGGAAGTAATGTATCCGTCGTTGAAACTATGAGAACCAGGGAAATAAGTGTTGAACGACAATACCTATGACCGAGGAGACATAAGATAATATTAATTATAATAATAAAAAAATAAGATCATATGAAGCAAACCTCATTGCCAGTGCTTGTCTCATGAAGTAAAGTTAACATTAGTGAAGTCTTATCGAATACGAAGTCATTGTGATGACTGAAGAGGTTAATAAACTTGTGGTGACGATGAAATTCAATGAAATTTGTAGCCACTTCCCTGTGATCAACGAAAGTGAAAGAACCCCAATTTTGCCGTATGATGTTATAATTAACTACTTCCATATCCTGCTTAAGTACGGAGTTTTGCCCTATTATATGCGACCATATGTAGAATTCTTCACATAAATCGCTTTGACGCCACGTTAGCAAGACATCACGAAAAAACTCTACCATCGTCACACGCTTATCAATAATAATACCTCCTTGTGTTGCTGACGGATGTTCTTGAAAGCCAGTTTTGAAATTAAAAGCTTCGTTAGTGATGTACTCCAAAATTTTAGTCCTCAATATAAAACCGGCTGGACCAACAAGTGAGTCACGAAGATACTGATAATTTTCGGGAATTTCCATTACAACTGGAATTTCCGAGTAGAGGACCATAGGGTAGTCATTATAACGTGGTCGAGTACCGACGCGCACTTCATCATACCAATTCTCGAAATGTATTTTTAAATGACGGACGAATAAATGTCTACATTGTAGTCGTAGTTCAAAATTTGTTAACCACATACCGTTGCGACGACTTGCGTCATTGAAACAAACGAAGTATTCCAGTGATAGAAAGTTATACCGTTTATCGATGATT